TACAAGCTTTAAAAATAAACAAACCGGAAAGTTACACGGAAAGCTTAGGAAAAAAATCAAATTCATCCGCAGTTAAGTCTGTTGAACTCAAAGAGACTTTGAACTATTCTTCCAAACCTCCCGGTATCTCACACAAGCAATTTTCTCTCCTATATTAATGGTGGTCATTTTTAGTCTTTCTTCAATCTTATTTCCAGGCAGCTCTGTTCTCAAAACAGAGCTCTCTTTCTCAAGAGCTCATCCGCTCCTAATGTTTCTCTGCCTCATAAAAGACATTAGGCTAAATCCATCAGGCTGTTGATTCTTACTTAAATGAGAAATAGCCTTTGCAAAATCTGTGGCATCGATCGCACAAGCTATCGAATTGGATTGAGGGACTGGAGAATGACCACTCGATTTTCAGAGGAGTTTGAGAGCTGTGTAATCCTGCACTCAGTGATGTCTACTAGAAAATATGTGCCGCTGTATTAATCAAGGAGTAGGCATTAATGGTGAGTAGATATCATATGAACTGCTGTAGGCACAATCCTATCTTATCTACACCCTAAAATTAAAAAAAAAAAAAAATCCCTCTAGTCCTGAATAGAAGGCTAAATATACAATGAGTACCCTAGTGACACTCTCTGGTATGTTCTCAGTCTCTTCTACAGATACAATACCTTGAAATATCTGGTGACCCTCTAATAAAATCCTAAGATTATTCCCTTCTCTGTAATTCACTCAAAGGGTAACAAGCAGATGGAGCAGCTGAATGCTTTAAGTCCCAGCAGCACCTTTTCCCAGGACTCTTTACCCTGCACACAGACTTACAGTGAGCACAAAGCCACTGCCACTCAGCACAGCTGTACTCCGTCCCAGTGTTCACCAGCCTAAATAGGCGAGCACAGCACCACACTGCAAAGGCTGGGGCCCTAAGGCCCATCAACCAGTGATTTGTTGGGAAATTAGAAACTTCGGTAATAATTTGGTAGTAAAGATTTGTGTGGATTGAGTCTTCTGCTCAGTTGGTGATAAAGAGTTGTGTACAACCCTATCCACCCCACCGTGTATCACTGAGACCCGGTCAAAATGCCTCTAGCTAGCAACAAGATGACTAGAAGGTGGCCACAAACTATACAGGGGAAAAGCTTTAATCTTAAAAACAAAACAAAACCCCAACAAAAAAACTCCAGAAGACACCACCTCTTCCTTTGGAACAGATAACCTTCTGGATAACAACTTTGTCCATAAATAAGGGCTAAGCTGGGGCGGGGGGCATTCATTTTTTTAAAAGCAAACTGCCTGAAATTTCAACATCTTCCCTAAAGCTCATCATGTCTTCTGACAATGCAGAGGATGATGTGAGGATCAGAACAAATATCAGATCACTGAAAAATACTTCTTTCTACCTTTTGAAGTTTATGAAAGCTCCTTACAGAATCAGAAATCTTACTTTTCTTTTCTTTTCAGGAGTGTTTGAAATATTTTCTATACTGAGGCCATTTGTAGGTGCCCTTACTCAAAGCAAGTAGCATTTTAAGACACCAACAAACCCTATTTGGCTTAAAGCAGGGTGATTCCTAATTCAAGTGAATGCAGCATGCCCATGCTAGAATATTTCTCCCCAGCAAAACTCTGTCTAGTGAGCTTTTATTCAAGAATCGGTAATAAAATGAAGGGCTGATGTGGCGCGTGAGTATTTCCTCATCTAAATTCTGAGCCAAAGGCTCATATGCTCAAAAGATCAATCAGCTTATATGGAGACCCCTCCCAATTTATACATATTTAGTAGCCCATTCAAGCCAGATAGCTAATCCAGGTATCAGTTTTCTATGCCCAAGACAAATGCACCCCAATTATTTTCTGCTTAGCGTCTGAAGTTTTTTTCGGAGTTTTGTTGTAGCCAATCATAAAGCTTATCTGGAAGTAATAAAAAAAAAGTTCAAGAAAATTAATCTAAGTTTTCCTTTAAATACTTTTTTTAAGCCTTGTTTTTGGGGGAACATTTCCCAGTTGCCAGCACTGGAGAGCGAGAGACTGAAGGCAGAAGGAAAATTCCACAAAAGGCAACACACTGCGTTGACCCAGGCAACATTTCAGCTCTGCCAAAGTCTTTAGAAAGCTCCTCTATTAATGCATTGGGACTGATGGCCAAGATCTAGATTAGCTTTCTCGCTGCCCGAGTTCCAGCCCCAGCCAGTATTAATCAGGAGATCTGCACTGAGCTAAACCGATGCTAGCTAATTCAGACAAAAGCATCAACCCCCTTTTCTATGCAACCACACCTGATCATGGCTACACTTTGTCCTGAATATATCCCTGTTCCCACAGGCTAATAGATTACAAATAGCAGAAAAACCAAAAGTGAAGGATTGGCAGTGGAGCATTTTTCATACTCAGTATCTTTTCCAGGTATTTCTCCAAAAATCTGAATAATCTGTTTGGCCAGAATATTTTCCAGCTAATATGGCAAGCTTCAAAAATTATTTGCAGTTGTATCTTCAGTTTTTAAAAGAGGAAGTAGGAAGTTAATGTCTCAAATCCAACCAAATATCTTGACCTATTCTTTCTTTCAGAGTCCTCAATATACTGAAGAGACATTCATAAAGGTTATGCTTATCTTCAGGGTAACTAAGCGAGTTGCAGGAGAAAATTTCCCTCACTAATCACATTTTGTCATTAGAAAACCAGCAGCAGTGAATGCTCAACAAAGGAAATCAACAGAAATTAGAGAGCAGATTTGACTTTGCAACAGGGACTCTTGTCACACAACTGTTGCCACCCCAGCTCCATGGCACTCTTGACCCAGTTAAGGTGATGTGGAAAGAAAGAAGTTTGGAGCAAAGTTTCCTAATCCTTTTACAATGTCTCACAACATCAATTCAGATATTTGACCTGGGCTTGGAGGATGCTACATGGTAGGACTAGGTCTCTGTTACTGAAGAAGTTGAAGCCTCCACCTCCTGCAGTCTACCTAGAAACTCCCCACTTGTAGTCCCACCATGACCCCTCCGTTCTGCAACCCAAAAAGCAAGTACCCCTTTTCCCACCATGAACAGTCACCCTTCCAGTTCTCAAAATCTTTTGGAGGTCTTAGTTTCTATCACAGCTTCTCCCTTGCCTAACCCTAGCCCTAGAGGAAGAATGTCCTAGAGAGCACAGGCTACTGTGAATACAAATTTCCCACTGCCCTGCAGGGTACATCTGCACATCAGCCGCTAACCCAGCAATGTAGTTGGGTGCAAAACGCACAGATAATTTTTCCCTTAAAAACGTTCAAAATGTGGAAAACATGACCAGTGCAGAGGAAGAGCTTCACAGTTGGACACCACCTCCATCAACTGGTTAATCTTCTGCTCAGTGCCAACAACTGGATCACACTGAGCAGACGAGCAGCAGCACCGCTCACCTAACGTTGAGAGCTATATTATCCATATAAGGGGTAGAGCAAAGCCCAGCGAAGGTACAAGGACCATCCAGCTGCATCTAACACAGCCTGCAACCTACATGTGAAACCAGCCAGCTGGGTAAACACATGGCACCTCTCACCCTCAACACTCCTTGCTCACTGACTTTATAGCTTATTGGAGAAATAGAATCCTTCCCTATAAGGAAGTCTTGGTAGGTCTGGACAAGGAATATCTCCTTTTGACAGTACGGACCCAGAAAGTGCTGACATGAATCAAACTTACTGCTTGCCACTCCTTGCCCCTCTCCAGCCTCCTAAAAATAGCCATCATAAGGTGTCGATCAAGACATGGAGCCTCCTGTCACTTTGCCCTAAGAAAGCTAAAGAACTCGCCAAGGGGAGGGACTGCTTCCTTCTGACACCTAATCCAGGCAATGCCGTCAGCACCGCCAGATAAATAAGGGGAAGAAAGGCCAGGAAAGCAGGACCACTCTCAAGACCTCTCAGCTAATCCCTCCTGCCCGTCTGCTGCTCTGCTTTTCCAACTCTCAACTATGGTGGGTCCACTGGTTAGCAGCAACCAGTGTATTTTACATAAGTAAATCGGGCTTCTCGCTCAAGTTAGTTCGGGAGGGGGGAAGGACAGTCCAGAAGACTGTTTAGGTTTGCTTGGCTTTCCTCCTTAAGCCTAAAGGACTATGTGAGGTTTTCCAGTTAGCCTCAAGTTCTGAATCAGGCAATGGTAGATGTGCAGCTCCTGTAGCTTCAGGCAGAAGGGTTACAATTTGCTAGTGCTATCTGCTAAGCATTTTTCTTTATATTGGATGCAGCCTGCTAAATTGGCAAAAGAAAACAGTAATATTTTTATATAACAAAATATCATAGTTTAGTACTTTATGAAACAATGTACTGTCAAAAACTAATTTGAAACACAAACTTTAAGGGATTGGTTTAATTTCTGTGTTAACTTAAAAAAAACCCCACTTGTTAGGTAGTATTACTTCAAATGGTCTTAATAAAATGAGTTTGTACTAAAATAGTAAATGACTTGACGGTACATTAATGACTTCTTTGTTAGTTAAGAGACACTAGATTTTTGTTGCTTCTAGCCACAACCCTGGCTTTCCCTGGGACACAGATTTTAAGGGAATCTTTAAGAACAGACCTGGTGATGCATTTTTATAAAGGAATTTGCTAGTTTAGGTTGCTATGACCTAATTACCTTAGGCCAGACAGATGGGAGAGCGCTCAGCTACATTGTGCCATTTGCTTTCTCTCAGTGCATTTTCAGCAGTACTAGTTCTCTTCTTTTCTCTCTCTTTTTCTTCCCAACTGCAGTCCTTCACTCCTGACCAAATTAATGGTAAGTGAAATAAAAGTTGAACTTTAACAGGGGGCAGGAGGGGGAACATAATGGCTACTGAATGCTAAATATTTACAAGTCTTAACAGCTCTTTTGCTATTTGCATCACTTCTGCACATCTGACAGGCCACTTTTTTTCTGTTTTGGAAGATGACTCATGGATTGAGCTGGATGCTATAGAAAACAAACAGGTTCTCCCCTAGCCCCCCCTTCCTAAGCTATTTTTTGTGATTGATTTCCTTCCAACAGATCGAGTTCTCCAAGGAGCAACAGGATGGTAAGTTACAAGAGAGCTGATGTGTTTTACAAGTACATGGGTTCAGAGAGGAGCTACAGGCTCAGAAGTTTAACCTTTAAGAGAAGATGAGCTAGACTTCAGCTGGTATAAATCACCACACTCTTGACTTCAGAGGAGCAGTGCTGACTTATGCTGAACAAGAATCTGACTGTAGATTTACATGTAATTTATCTGGGTGCTTATGTACTTGCCCAAGCTGAGAAGTTTATGCCATGGTACGAAGAGGAAATATGCTGGTGTTACCAGCTCTACCTACTGAACGTTTTTCAGTTGTGCTCCTGTACTGGCCATTCACAAGGATGCTGAAAATAGGTCTTGCATCTGAAAGTCATAGGGGAAACAGGCAGATGAAGGACAACAGAAGGAGAGAGTGGGCTGAAAATTTAACTTAGCTGCAGTGACATTACAGTTTTACATGAACAGAAGATGCAAGAGGCCTACATGTCACTTTTGCCGGGAGGTGTTGTGGAAGGGGAAGAACAAAGGCTGTTTTACTGTAAATACCTTCATGAAGCATGTAAATAACAATAGTCTGGGTATGCTGCAGTCCTTGAGCATCTTGCTGTATTGTCTGCTTCACAAGCCACCTGCAAGTTCAAAATATTTTGGGGTTTTGTTTTTCTTTTTTTCCAATTTGTTAGAAAGATCCAATTAAAAATTCTGACATGAACAAAAATCCCCATTGAAGCTCTGGAAATCTAAGTCAGAGTGTTTTAAATATCCTAAGAGAAGCATTTGGGCTATATTAAATAACATAGGTTTAAAAAAATTTCAAAAATTCAGTAGCAAATATAGCAGAGTTCTCACGGTGAACAAAGTATTTAGAATGGAAGATACAAGGATTTACAAGAAATCCAGAGAGAGAGGACTAGCTAGAAGCAGGTCTTAAGAGAGCCCTGAACTTCCTGAACACCAGCCCACTCTGGATTACACCATCAAAGCAATAAGGAGAGGTATAGTGCAGTAAGTGAGACTGGAAACATTTCTCTCCCTGCCATCCAAACACTCCGGGCCACAAAGAAAATAATTTGGACTCTTCCTCACTATTTAATTCTAAAACTTTTACAAAAGGATTGGGAAGGTTTATAGAAAAATGCTGTCAATTCAAAGCTGCTGGCATGTATAACAAAACAAAATATTTCTTTCAGCTTCCTTACATATTTCAGACCATCCAGCTGCTGTAATGCTGTGATGACTGAACCCAGCAGCAGAGCAATTAAAAGTTGCTTCAGAGAGGGAGAATTTCCCAGGAACGGTAACCACCCTCAGTAACTATTTCCATCCACACAGGCTAAGGCACCAGCAGCTGGGTAGTACCCTCCTCAGAGAGGTATTTTAGACGTGCTTATTCCAGCAGAGGTACAATTGAGAACTAGATATATTTAAAAAAAAAACAAAACAAAACAAAACACCACAGCAAAGATATATTGCAGTGAAATGAATGCCTGAGAGATAAAAATAAAATCAGGCCTTTTCTCTGAGCTGGAGAGTGGTGTTCAGAACCCAGTGAACATAAAACTTCATGGCATTTACAAAACTGAGAAACTCTCCTGATGTCTTTGCTAATAGCAAACTGGCATTGTTTTATACCTTGCTCTGGCTAAATGTCATTAATGCACCAGAGTAAAGATCAGATCACATGCTATAAATCACTACAGCTCTATTGACCTCAGCTGCTAGAGCAGGAGCTGATATCAAGTTGGTATATTGTAAAGGGAAGCTCTACACAGGTCCAGAAGGCCTTTATTCCATACCCTGCAATAAAAGCTGTAAGGGGAGAGGGTTAGCAGTAAAGGGTTATAGGTCTCTCACATCAGACAGTAAGAAGATTAGTTTCAGATGTATTAGGTTACAGCCTAGCAGGCCGACATCCTGTATCAGCAGTTTTACTGGGTGCCAGCAACTCCTCCACTAAGGCAGTATATGGATGGCTAAAGCAAGAACCTAAATATCTCTGTGTCACATGTCTCCAGCACAAGATGAATGAAGACATGATTTGAAGTGTGGTTTATTACTCCTAAATCTGCCCCAAGGCACAAAGAACATGCCGCCTACACAAGCTGTGAAACACAAAGCCTGTCTAGCTGCTGGAAGCGCATCACAGCCAAGGGAAAGACCTTTCACTTGGTTTACTTAGAGCTAAAACACAGCATTGTCAGACACTGCAGTGCAGAAAAGTTCAACAGCACAGTCCAACATACTCTTGACATACGAGCTTTGAAGATGGCTTTTTAGCTAGACCCTTGATTTTTGCCCCCCCCCCCTTTAAAAACACATTTCTTTATTCATTGCAACAAATACTCCAAAAACCCTGAGAAATATAGTAAGACGATTAACATGGAACTTTGCAACAGAAGATGAGGACTGGCAATGTAATGAAGGTAACCATCTGTGCTGATTTTTGTAGGAGAAATGTCTGTACCCCAAGTCCTTGGTAAGCAGCAAGGGGGAAATAAGTGAATGTTGATCACTTGGCAGCACCGAAAGAAGCAAAGTCTCAAAGTGTACACACCAGAAATGCACTGGAAAAAGGCACCACACAAGTGCTACCACTGGAAAAGCTGGATATTCAAGTACCTGTAAGAAGCAGGGACAGACTGCAAAAGGCAGAGAAGAAAAGGAACAAACATGGGTAGAACTGTTACTGTAAGGCAACTTTAAGGGAAAACAAAAGAAGCAGCATTTGAAATACACCTTCAAGTTTCCCATTAGCACTGTGTAGTTGAGATGCTGGGATTGCAGGCAGGACCCAAAGCAGGCAGATGTTTTGCATTGCTAGGTACTTTAAGAGTCCGAGTCCTCTGGTGAGATAATAGTGGATAATAACATTTTTACCTTCTGCTGCTATGTCACATAAAGAAACCTGTTCCTGAATGGCAATGTTTGTAGAAAGCTTATCTTTCCTCATGCTTGAAAAAACTATGGGATCAATCACAAAGCTACTGATGGCTATTAGAGCCAGGAAAACTATGAAAGGTAGATATAAAAGTTTGACATTTTGGTTTCACTATTTTTAGAGGGAAGGGGTTTTTCTTGGGATTGTGGGCCAAAGATTCCCCTGGCCAACTCCTCCGGAGTTGGTGGAACAGTGCCAGGAGACAACAGGCCCACATCTTTGTCAATACAACTTGTCAATAGGGAGCTGCCTGGCTCAATTTAACTGTTGTTCTTCTCTTGCAGACTTCAAGGAGGCCTTCCTCCTCTTTGACAGGACTGGTGATGCCAAGATCACCCTGAGCCAGGTTGGCGATATCATCCGGGCACTGGGGCAGAATCCTACAAATGCCGAGGTCAACAAGATCCTTGGCAACCCCAGCAAAGAGGGTAAGTACCCTACAGTCTCTCATGGGCCCTTCTTGAGGCTGGGGAACTGTAATTAGGCAACATCAATAGTCACAGCAGGAGGGAGAGGCACTTTTGCTCTGACAGGGAGCAAGTGGGACTCTGCAGCAACAATACATGGAATTTCTCCAGTTCCTTTTGAAGAGAGTGATGGGGAATACAGTGCTCAGAAAGAGGCAAATCTTCTCCTTAGGATATGGAGAATACTCTGTAGGGACCATTTTGGTGTCAACTTGGTGTAGGTATAACACACTCATTGCTGTTTACAGTCTGTTTGTGCCCCAGCCCTTGCTGGGGAGCTCTAAGTCCATTTCTAACAGCTGATACTCAGCTCTTCAGGTCCTTCCAGTGCAGAATCTTCTGCATAACCAAGACATGCCCTGGGACCAGAAACCCACATGTATATTTCTGCTGACTGGGGTGTGGTCTGCTCAAAGCTCCTATAAACCTGGGCATATTGAGGCATATATTGGCCATTTATTGTAGCAACCATTTTCTATTTCCTTTTCTCTCCTCTTAGAGAGAAAAGAAATGGTAAATACTGTAGTCACCTCCTTCTACCAAGGTCCTAGCTGCAGGTGATCCCTGATTTCAGTCATGCAGAACCCTATTAAGATGGGCTAAACTATGTCCAAACCCTCAGGCCTGGTAAAGGCAGCTCTGAGGAACAATTCAGAAGACCAGAGGTAAGTATTAGCACCAGCAGGAAGAACTGAGCAGGGGACTAACAAAGAGGTGAAACCATGACAGTACTTTAAGGGTCTACAGCAGTAGCTAACAGTGATCTTGGCATAGCTAGGTAATAAAATAGTTTCTGTAATAACTGTATATATATAAAAAAATAGTCTCTTGCATGTTTCCATCTATTATATTTCATGGCTGCCCAGATGAAGGCTGCTCATTTCAAAGATCCAGTAGGGGAAAAAAAAAGAAAAAATAAAAAAAAAAAGACCCTTTTATTTGGCAGCCCTGCTCCAACAAAAAATATTTGGGGAAGGCCTCACTGAGGACTACAACTTCTGGCTCATGAGAACAAAGGGGTTAGACGCACTAAGCTTGTGAGTCCTTAAAACTCCACACGGAGCACATCAATAGTAAAT